GGAGAGCGCAGAGGACCGAACGAGCGCGCGCGAGTGAGGTCCTCTGCGCTCTCCTCTCCACCTCTGTTGGTACTACGATTTTATTTCAATCAGCAATTAACTACAATGAACGAGAGTAACCGTGAGTCTAGGAAATAGCATTTTTCTGCATTTTGTAACTAATTCGTCATCGGCGGCCAAAATGCATTTTTAATGGCGGCCAAAGTTATTCCTGAAAATGACTCTTAGCCGCCGGCGGCCAAAAGCAATTTTTTTCGGCGGCCCGAAAAATTCTCGGAAATCACACTTGGCCGGCGGCGGCCAAAAGTCAATTTTCCGGAGGCCAGAAGTAATTTTCATAAAGTTATATTTGGCCGCCGGCGGCCAAGAGTGATTTTCGTCGGCGGCTAAACCGTCGGCGGCCAACTTACACTGAGCCGGAAACGGACTTTGAATTCGACTTTTTGCTGTGCACCAATTATTTCTTTGTTGAAATTGTTATTGTTGCTTTGGATGTATGAATTAAACGTATGTGTATATGCTTTACAAAGGAAGATAACCTGAAAATGAAGACTTTTTCATTTCATTCATGCCAATAAAATATCTTCCATTCTCAATTTTTCATATTTTCTAATATTCTATGCAAAATGCCATAGAAATATTCCGCGTAGATAATAACAACTGATGGAATGTTCAGCGTCGAGAAAACCAAAACAATGGGAAAGTGAGTGTCACCCGTAAGTGTTGCCATACGCATCAACTGTCATTTGTTCAATGGGCTGGAATGTCAAATTTGTCAAATTCCCACCAATGGAATGAAATTCACGAGACAAATGACACGTGAAACTTCAGCTGCAAACAAAAGTAAGCATTGGTTTTGGAAACGTCATATAAACAACAAGGTAAGAAAGAGGTGGGTGAAAATTAGAAATAAATGTGCGAATTTCTGACTGAATCCCGAAATTTGTAGATAAAAAATGGAGACACGAGCGCGTAAGCGATTGAAGTTAGCTCAGAAAGAGGAGGAGCACATAGAGATTGAAACAAATGTGACAGAGTTTATGGACATGAACGATGATGTTATGTACGCACTATTTCAACGATTGCCACTGGCGGATTTGTGTTCGATAAGCCAAACATGCCAACGGCTGCAGCAGTTATCCGGAAAACATTTCCAGCGAAGATATCCAAACAATCGTCTTGACATCGAAATTTTCAATTGGAGTACAAGTGGTCTGGACGTGAAACCAGCATGGGAATTTCGTTTACAGCCAAATGAACAGTATGCCAAAGCATTCGCTGGATACATTCGCAATGTCAGCGTATTTATGTATAACTATGAAACTGATCCAATTGACGCCTTCGTCTACTTGAAAGCGAATTGCTACGCGAATCTACGGGAATTGGTGCTCTATCGAATCGCTGGCCAGTCGGAAAAATGTGGTGAACTCATCAAAACGCAACTCAAAACATTGGAAAGTATTAAATTTGAAAATTGCTGCATTCGTGATATATACAGTGCCTTTCTCAAGCATAGTCCAGCATTGAAGCAAATTTCAATCAAAGAAGGACGCAACCAGAATGGCTGTGTAATGGATTGGACAAAGCATCGATACCCTCAGGTGAAAAGTTTCATTTACCATTCGAACAATGTGGTCATTGAGAATTTAGAGCAATTTTTCCTGCTAAATCCACAAATTGCCAATGTCATGTGCTCAAGCATGAATCTGTTTCGGCTGTTGTTCCGCAAGGCATGGCACCTTGACTTTTTGCACCTATCGTTCGAAAGTGAATACAAATTCTATTCGATTGCCACCGAGCTACAGACGTACTGTCATCAAGGCTATGTGAAACGATTGGAAATGCACTTCAAAAACGGATGGGAACCATCACGATTTGCTATCGGGCGTGTCGTCGAACTGGCACCATTGGCCGTATGGCAAGGTCTACACGTCAAACAAGTTGCAAAGAAAATCAACTTTCCCGCCGCTTTGGAAAAACTGCAAAACTTGACCGTCTTTAGCCTAGGCATTGATCATATGTCAAAGAAATTACTTCAGGTCATGTCACGTGGCCTGCCAAATCTCAAGGAATTACACTTGGAATCAGCATGGACTAGCGAGTCCATTTGTGGATTTCGTTTCAAGCAATTTATCAGACCATTTGCCTTACACTCACCGAATTTGCAGAAAATCGCCATCAAAGGTAAAAAAAAAAATTAGGCTAAGTCCATCAAAATTTATCTAAATTATTATTTATTTCCTTCTTTTATTCATTTTTTCTTCTTCATCAAAGGCGTTACAAACACAGCATTGATCACCGGCAACGATATCGTCACATTGGACTCTCTTCGCAAAAAAATACCCAATGCCAGCGTTATAACCATTTACCTCGACTATAAACTCATCCAAGGAGCCAATTTCATCATCCCAGCCCACAGTCTTTTACTCATAAAACCATTCTCACAGCTCACACCAGACTATCGAAAGATCTATTAGGAATCCTAATTTTGGAGGTAGTTAATATAATGGCAAGTCGTTGAAGAGAAACATCTAGTGATTTTAATTTACTAAAATTGACTCTTTACTCGGGCACATAGAAAAGAATTGGAAAATCTGCTTTCTCTTGGCCATTTTTGCTATAAATTTGTATAATTTCTGTAAAAACAAATTTTTTTTACAGGCTCTCGTTTTTATTATTTTTTTTTAATTCCAAAATTAGTGATTTTAATTTATTTTAGCGAGGAATAAGATATTGATTTGATTTTAATTACTTGAAGAACAATTGGTTCGATTTGAAAATATCAGTTGAATAAGAGGCAATTATTTCGTTTTCATTTGAAACGAATAATATGATTTTTAACACAATACTCAATGAGTACTAATTTTAATCAATTTATTTTATTATTTGAAAAAACCAAGTTCTTCGAAGATTTTCCTTTTGTCACGATGGAATTTCATTCTATTATGAGGCTGTCATATCCACAAAAATTTGAATAAAATTTAAATTTTAAACGCAATTTCCGAGATCAAAGTAATTTTTGGTTTATTTTTATGCATGATTGCGTACAGAATATTTTTTTCTTGGCTAAATCAATGGAGAATAAAGGTAATAAATCAGTGCAATGAGAAATAAAGGTAATGTTGAGCAAAGGTAATGGTTTTAATATAACTAGAGCCAATTTTGCTTTTTTCGAGTCAATTAATGCAATTGATTCGAAAATGATCTCTGAGAATCATTTGCTTGGTAAATAAACTCGTAGTGCTTTATTTTTCGGTTCGTTTTGTTTCAAAGATAAAAACTAGAAGCCTGTATTTTACATTCATATCTTTTTAATTGGAATATTTTTTTCACAATTTTTTTTTAATCGCCAGAACAATTGTTTCAATTCGAAAATATCAGTTGAAGTAATCGACTCGTTATTTTAAAACGAAAAAAAAAAAATTCAAACGAAATTCAAACTGAGTCGGGTGCTCATTTTAATCAATTTATTTTAATATTTGAAAAACTAATTTTTTAGCGAATTTTTTTCTCATTGACTCGTGAGGCTATCATATTCATAAAAATTTGGATAAAATTTAAATTGTGAACGAAATTGAAAATATATTTTAATTGAAAGTTATTATCATATTGGAATCAATTATCAGCCGTGGCAAATACATTTTTGAATTATTTTTACGCACATCTGATTGCCACACACTGTGTAGTACATAGGGATATTTTTTGGCTTTATCAATGAGGAATGAAGCTAATAAAGATAACGATTTCATTAGTGCACATTTTTTTTTTGTCTTTTTTTTTGAGTCAATCGTTAATGCAATTGTGTCGAAATTTTCGAATCGCAAATGATCATTTGGAATTATTTGCTTGGTAAATACAAACCATTACAGATTTCTTTATTTTTTTATGATATTTTTTTTTCTTCAAAGATGAAAACTATCCCAGCCTATTACGGGTAAGTGACTTTTCTCCTCCGTTTTTGTCCGTCCGTCCGTCCGTCCGTCCGTCCGTCCGTCCGTCCGTCCGTCCGTCCGTCCGTCCGTTTATCCGAATCAAACGGACATTTAGCAAACGGACAAACGGACGGACGGACAAATCCCAATCATAAACGGACAATTCACTCGGACAAACGGACAAGTCACTCGGACAAACGGACGGACAAACAAACGGACGGACAAACAAACGGACGGACCAAATGCAATCATAAACGGACAAACGGACCAAACCAATTAAATACAACCAAAATGGACAAATGTACATGAGCCTGAATGAAATTTCGTCGAAAATCGATTCCTCGTCAAAAATTAAATTAAGAAAGTATATTCGTAATCAAATTTTCGAAAATTTATTATTACATGAAATGTAGAGTTGTTGTATTCATACCATCGCAGCAGGTACACTCCGTGAATGATTACAACAACAAAATACACACGTTTCGTTTTAGTTCGGTACATTGTGGTATGGAAAATCAAGATGGCGCCATCAGTAGCGAATCTGATGCTCTGCAACTTTGGTTGTATTTGTTTTTTAATTTTCTCTTCAGCCATCATAACTTCCAAATGCTTTGGCCAGGTGGTCTAAGTCTATGGTCTCTCGGGACTAATGGATTTTGGACCAAACGGGACTATCCTGGATCTTAGAAATTCGAAAAACAATTTTCGAATGATATTTTCTTAATCTAATATTGAAATTCTAAATATATTTTTAAATTTTATTTTCGAAAACTATCATTTCGAAATTCGAACTCATTTTCGAATATTTAATTTCTTTGTGTAATTTTGAAAAATGGATTTCTGAAATTCGAACCCGTTTTCGAAAAAGAAACTTTTGATATGATTTAGAAAATCATCATTTCGAAGTTCGAACTCATT